TCCTCCTCATCCCCCTCTGCCTCCTCCTCCTCCTCCCTCCACTTCTCCACTCCTCCACTCCTCCACTCCTCCACTCCCCTCCGCCTCCTCATCATCATCCTCTCCTCCTCCTCATCCCTCCTCATCATCCTCCTCCCACCTCCCCCTCCCCCCTCCCCCTCCTCGCCCCCCCTTCCTCCTCCTCCTCCTCCTCCTTCCTCCTCTCCCTCCTCACTCCTCCTCTCCTCCTCCTCGTCCTCCTCCTCCTCCTCCTCCCCCCCTCCTCCTCTCATCCTCCTCTTCTCCCTCCTCCTCTCTCATCCTCCTCCTCTCCTCCTCCTCCTCCTCCTCCTCCTCTTCCTCCGTACATACTCTCAACTCAACCATTTTGGCTTCCTGCGCCTGCTTCTGAACCTCCCAGCACCTCGTTAGAGCTCGGCGAGGAGTGCGTGCGCGCGGGCCAGCCGCCCAAGGCACGCCCCAGGCACGCCCCAGGCGCGTGTGTCCCGCTTGGTGTTTCCACTCCCTGCTGCTGCGCCGTGCGGTTCTCTCTCCTCCTCCTCCTCCTCCTCCTCCTCCTCCTCCTCCTCTTCCTCCTGCTCCTCCTCCTCCTCCTCCTCCTGCTTCTCCTCCTCCTCATCCTCCTCACTCGCCTGAGCTGGGCACCGCCTCTCGAGTCGTTGGGCGCCGCCGCGTGGCGCCACGACCGCTCCTCGCGCGCGTCGCAAAGCAAGCCGTTCCCACCATTTCATCCTCCTCCTCCTCCTCCTCCTCCTCCTCCTCCTCCTCTTCCTCCTGCTCCTCCTCCTCCTCCTCCTCCTGCTTCTCCTCCTCCTCATCCTCCTCACTCGCCTGAGCTGGGCACCGCCTCTCGAGTCGTTGGGCGCCGCCGCGTGGCGCCACGACCGCTCCTCGCGCGCGTCGCAAAGCAAGCCGTTCCCACCATTTCAGGTACCAGCGAACTTCGGCAAGGTCGGCGCAGTCCTCGCTGCAACGAGAGCAGATTTCCAGCGCTCCGTCAGCGATGTCTAGGCGAATCCGCCAGCGTCAGTAAATCCCTTCCATGGAATCCAGGACTCACTAAAACCGCAGACGCCATCTCAATTTACCATGGAGACTCGTCTCTTGGGTCTGGGCGGCGAGATTGCGAACAGGTTCTAGGAGGTGAGCGGGATCAATCTACCCAGGACAGTAATAATGTGTGTGCAGTAAGCGATATGCCTTCTCAGCCCCCTGGAGCGTGCGGGCTTCCTTCTATCCTGCCCCTGCTCTTGCCCCTGCTTGCCTGCTCTCTCTCTCTCTGTCTCTCTCTCTCTCTCTCTTTCTCTCTCTCTCTGTCTCTCCCTCTCTCGCTTCCCTTCGGTGGCGTAAGCCTTTCTGGGTCAAGCTGGGGGTCGTCCCTATGTGGCCTAAGGCCGGGTTCCCTGGAGGCCATTTGGGGAGGCCCACAAGATCCGGGGCCCTTGGAAACAAGGGCGCCCTCGAGGGCGCGAAGTTATTCGCGCTTCGCGCTGCGCGGCTCGGCTCCGATCCCTCCTCATGCTCCTCTTCTCCCCTTGGGGGGGGCGGCGCGCGAGCGCGAAGTTGCTCGCGCGCCGCGCAGCGCGAAGCGCGAAGCTGGGAGCCCGTGTTGGAAACCGACGGTGGTGGCCATGCCGGGCGGCGAGCCGCCCCTGCCGCGCGCCCGTGGCGAGCGGATGCGCACGGTCGGCCGCCGCGTGGCGTCGGCGGCCGCCCGCCGCGCAACGTCGCTGTGCACATTCTTGTGCTCGCCGGCCGGGTGGGCTCGCGGGGGAAAGCCAGGCCCGTCGGCTTGAAACAAGGGCTCCCGCGAGGGCGCGAAGTTGTTCGCGCTTCGCGGTTCTCGCTCCTTCTCCCCCCCTCCTCGTCCTCCTCTTCTCCCTTTGGGGGGGGGGGCGGCGCGAGAGCGCGAAGTTATGCGCGCTTCGCGGTTCTCGTTCCTTCTCCCCCTCCTCCTCGTCCTCCTCTTCTCCCTCTGGGGCGGGCGGCGTGAGAGCGCGCAGTTGTTCGCGCTTCGCGGTTCTCGTTCCTTCTCCCCCTCCTCCTCGTCCTCCTCTTCTCCCTCTGGGGGGGGCGGCGCGAGAGCGCGCAGTCATTCGCGTTTCGCGGAGCGCGGAGCGCGAAGTTGGGAGCCCAAGTTGACTGGGTGGACTGCACACGCTGGTCGCTGAGAGGAACTATTTCTGGATCCCCAGATCCCTCCCCATCGACTTCCAGCGCCTTCCTGCTTCAAGAGCCGATGTGTTTCGGCTGTGCTCGTTCTTCTGGGGGGGCCCGAACCACATGTATATAATCCGCCTTCCTGCCTCATGTTTTCTAACTTTTTCCTCCGATCGACGCGTGCAGTGGAGGCCCATGCCAAGAAACACCCTGCTTGCCTCCAGGATGCCTTGGGTTTCTTGGGTGTCGATGGTTTTGCCATAGGGAACGTGACGCTCCAACGGCAAAATCGATGGACGTCCTTGGGTCTCAGGGTTGGGATTTTTTTGGTCGGGCCCCT